AGTAAATAAATGTAGAAGATGACAGCTTTTCACCTTTAGCTTTAAACAAGAAGAAAATAGAAAAATCTAAAACAAAAAAACCCTGGTGAGTTAGCTATTTTTAAAGTCTTTACTTGAGTGTCCCATTTTAACACTAGGACTGGAGCTATGTGACCCTTCCAGAGTTAGGCACTTTTATTTTCTTGTGGGTGTTCTTTTTGCCAGTTTTATTTATCTAGACACTTTATTATTTTGATTTTTCTTTTTCCCTCAAAGGCGTTTAGAGGAGTTCAAAGAAAGACAGTGCTGAGGATACTACAGTTTCCTTGCATTTTCCTGATTGAACATTGTTCACTTTCCACAGAAGAACCAAGGCTTAAACCAGAAAAACAGCTTAGATCCTAATTCCAGAAACACCATCCTAGTGACAGGTAATCAATGATTGTCACAAACAGCCTATAGTATGGGTAGGGGTCACACTTGACAATGCCCAACAGTGCAACTGCCTTCTTTTGCCTTTGCTTACCTTATTCTCTGATGACCAACTCTTCAATCGTATTCAGCTCAACTCCAGAGACTGCCAGAAGTAGTAAGTATTTGACCAGATTTTCCAGTGTCTTAGGAAAATAAAGCTCCAAGAAGCCTCAGTGGCTGTGGAATGAGAGGCCATCTGATTTATGGGTTCAAAGTTGGAAACATCTTATGAGCCTTCTCTGTTTTCTTTATCTGCCTCTAATGTTAAAATTGACCTTCCATTCTTGACAGGTAGCATCCCTTGTGGTGGAAAGAAGTTGTCAGAACATACACTTGGTTGACTAATGATCTCCCCTGATGTACTATTCCTTGTCCAAGGAGTAGACTATGTTGTCAAGACCCATGAACCCAGAGGGAGACCCACTATATAGACACGGATCTCTTTCTATTACATCTATTACATCGTACCATATATCTTAAATCCTGGACATTTTGCCTTTTCAGATGATTAGTTCAGGGTGCAGGAAAGACTATTTCACCATTTCTAATGTTTTCCATCCTTTAACATTGGATTGTCCAGAGACAGTGTCCATAATTAAATTAATTCCCAGTCTATGGAGAGTAGTGTCTCATAGAATCCGCTGATAATCGCATGACAGTATTTTGAAGAGATCAAGCTAATTCTATAATAGCTTAATCTCCGCTCATCCTTTCATCCTTCCCTATCCTTTTCTTTCCCTTTTCACTTCTCCCCTTCCTGTCTCACCCCCATTTCACCTACACTTCTTTCCCTTCATCTCGACACTATCTCCACACCCCCATTCTCTCTTCATTTACTCTCTTTCTCCCTCTCTATTTTCTTCACTTCCACTACACACACACACACACACACACACACACAAAGGATTACTATTAATACTTAAGACTGTCTCATTGTTACCATTTTTGAAAGGACTTGTAAACTTGTTTTTTTTTTTTTTTTAACCCAGAATTTTTTAAAAGCATACAGGGGACTAGAGATATGCACACAGATTGTCAGGCAGGTGTTTACAGGCAAAGATGGTTTGGTGTGTATGGTAATATTGGTTTTATAGGTTAAGTATTAAAGTAAAAGCTGGTCAATGTAGGGGATTTTGCTTTGATTGCTGGTTTCATTCTGTTTGCTTCTCTCCTTTAACTTTGAGCCCTGATACATCAGGCACAAAGAGAAGAACAGGTCAATCTGAGTTTTCAGATCTGGAATGAGTGCAGAGGTCTGCTTCTCTAAATTAGGCTAAATGATTCTTATCACCAGCCAAATTGATAATCTCTGCAGCAGAGAGTGGTGGGAATTTCCCAGTGGTAGCCTACGAAAGTGCATGTGTCCCAGCATGGAGGCAAAGACCTTGTTCATTCCAAGAGAACATGAGTTCAGTTATTAGCTCAGATTTTGGTGCTGCATTCTGGAGACCCCATAATTATTGCCTAAATAAATAAATCAGTAAACTCAGAGGACAGAAAGCACTGCTCAGATCTAGGTTGTTATTTATGCACATTTTTCATATAACCATTGAAAATAAAATATATAGTTACTCTTGAAAAGCAAAATTCAGCCAGTGCTGGAAAATGATCAACCCAAGTATTGTTTGCATATTTGAAGCCATTATGAAATTTTACTTATAAACTACAGCTGCAACTACTAAAACACACATGACATAATATAAGTTTTCTGACTATAGTGAATTCTATAATATTGGAGTATTTATTTTAGTAATTATTAAACATTTATTTAGAAAGGATGTTTGAGATATACCTAAGATTTAAATGAATACTTTTAAACTAATCAATGATTAATCAATTTAATATTTTAATACCTTAGAAATAAATTAATGACTGATTTCATGTCTCAATGGCTCATGAATGTATAAAATTAAACACCTTGTGAGATCTGTTTATAAAATAAGTAGATATTATTTTAATATTATTTGTGAGAATAATATATAGCTGCCATCTCCAGAAATGGAGTCTTTATGGGCATTAGATAAACATACACAGTACAGAATGATGTATTTTATCATTTTCCTATAACATCTTTTCCTGTGTCCTCTGTAGAAGTTTGCATTTTTAAAATAGATGAAGGTTCTCAAATATTTATAATAGAACATTACTCTCTTTAAAAGTTTAAGTTCCTTAAAGACATTGTTAATGTAAGCTACAGCTATTATTACTTATCACAAGGATCTAAAATTGAGTTATTTTAATAATATGTAAGTACCAATTCATTTAAAGGCAACGATAATAAACACATTGGCTATTAACATGTTTTTTATTTCAACAAAAACAACTAGTTTTCAAAACAATTCTCTGATGAAGAATTGGCTGGCAGTTTTGCAAATGTCTTCTGTGTCTGTCTTAAAAGAAAAGGAAACGGCTCTTCAGCGCTGAAATCTGTAGCTAGCCTACTGTGACAGTACATCCTAGAGTCTCTTCTGGATCTCACCGTTCAACCAGATGCCACGTGCATAAAAACGACAAGGCACAGCTTACAAACAATATGAAAACTGTGGATCTGAGAAGCTCAGGAGCCTCCACCCCTCCTGAGCTTGCCCTTGAGAGTCATCGGTGTGCCTGTGAGGCACAGTGAGAATTGCAAATTGTTGAATGAACACGGTGGTAAGTTGATACTCTTGAAAAGTACACAACGGAAAATGAGAGGTAGGTAGAAAATACAAAAGGCCTCTCTCTGTTGTTATAACTTTCTCTGGTGTTTATCTGTTGTCTGTCCTGAAGGTAGCGCCCCCTTTGGGTGATGACAGCCTTTTGTTCTTTCTTTCTTTCTTTCTTTCTTTCTTTCTTTCTTTCTTTCTTTCTTTCTTTCTTTCTTTCTTACTTTCTTTTTCCCTCTCTCTTTATTTTGAGGAGTCACGAACAGATATTTATTTATTTTTATTGAGCTATATATTTTTCTCTGCTCCTCTCCCTTCCCACCCCCTCTCCTTCTACCCTCTCTCATGATCCCCATGCTACCAATTACTCAGGAAATCTTGTCTTTTTCTACTTCCCATGTAGATTAGATCCATATACGTCTATCTTGGGGTCCCCTTTGTTGTCTAGGTTCTCTGGGATTGTGGAATGTAGGTTGATTTTTCTTTGCTTTATGTATAAAAGCCACTTATAAGTGAGCACATATTATATTCGTCTTTCTTAGTCTGGGTTACTTCACTCAATATGATGTTTTCTAGATCCATCCATTTGCCCATAAATTTCAAGATATCATTATATTTTTCTGCTTTGTAGTACTCCATTGTGTAAATGTACCACATCTTCTTCAGGATAGCCAAAACAATCCTGTACAATAAAAAAACAAACAAACAAACAAACAAACAAAAAACTTCTGGAAGCATCACAATCCTTGACTTCAAACTCTACTACAGAACGGCAGCCTTTCTTAATCCAATTGACTTTCTCTGCTTCATTCTGCTCAGAGAGGTCCCTAGAACCACCAACCTGACCAGCAATCAAAATTGGATTGGTTCATGGGCAAAATACAGCTAGGTAGAGTTCCTTGATTATAATTCTTACAACTCAGCTCTTTTCTCTATAAAAGGCCATACTAAGCTGTAAGCAGAGGACAAAGATGTCAGTCCATAATAACAGACAGAAGAAAGACATGGAGTCTGGCCCATTTCTGGTTTTCTTTTGTGACTTATTCCATTTCCTAAGCACTCCAAAATACAACTCAAGTGAATAATCCCCATTCCTGTACCTTAGCAGGCATATACTACCCTCAAATGACTATATACAAGCTTCTAAAGCTACTATTTAAATATAATTACCACACTGCCCTCAAGCAACAGCTCCAAGAACCTGTCCCTAGATTACCAGGAAGCTGACGCAGCCTGGTGTGGAAAGAAATAGAACCTGAGTCTCAAACTTAAAGCCCAGCTAATCTTTTAGGAGACAATGACAACTGTTCTCTACTCTCATGAGCAAGTCATCCAGAAAAACAATCTCCATCCTAAACTGACTGGTGCCACTTTAGAATACAGACATTTCCTATTGTCCCTTGCCCAAACTGCAGCTGCACAAGTTTTAAACATGTAGTAACACATCTGCAATAACTAAGTAGCTAAGTACAAAAGTCGCTAACTGTTCTTTATTATTTAAACAGTTCAAAATGGGAGTCAACATGTATAGAAAGAAGGACTTTTAAAGTCATGAATTGTTTAAGGAGACTTCTTTTTTTTACTTGATAGTTTTTACTATTTGATAAATGACAAAGAAGTCAAGAGAAAGGAAATTTCTTCTGCTTTCATGGAAGGATTTTCACTAGCTGCCAAAAGCTGGGAATTAGAACATATAATGATTAATTTACTGTTAGTTTATCTTCTGCATATGGATACCAATGTGAGGCGTATAACCCAAATTAATAAATTAGTTTTATATTGGGGTTGAATAATTTCCTTAATTGTTTTTGAAAATTACAACTGAGATTGTGTGGGAGATATATTATACATAGAAACAGTAGAAAATTTTCACATAATTGCCTATTTAACATTTTTATCCATATAAAATAATCTTTGTTAATAATTTTATAATGAGATCATCCCTTTCATCTCATCAGTTGTCGCTGAGGAACTTTTCAAAATAAAAGAACTTGCTCAAGCCTAACAGGGAAATGATTTCCCTGAAATCTGTTGGTATTTAAAATTTTCTCAAGCTAAATATATATTTTATCTAATTCATTATTAAATCTTGATTTCTTTCAGCTACTGCATATCCCTTACTGATTAATTAGTTATATTATTTCTACATTATTTTATGCAGGTTGACAACTCTGCTTCATGACCTATGACTTGGATTTGGTACTTTCTTTCCCTGGAAAACACATCTGGCAACAAAGCCGAGTTGTGAAGGTCATCATCATAATGTGGCCTGGAGGAAATCTTCAGTGTAGAGCCATTAGGAAGCCCTCTCTGGAAAGCCTTCACTAAGAGTAAGAAGATAGAGGCTTCTGGGGATTAGAGGGCATTATTTATCCCAAATGTGGTTGGGAATGAAAGCGTTCAGTACCCAGTCCTTCCCTCCACTCTAGCATGCAGACGCCTGCTCCATTTCCAGGAGGCACCAGGGCTACCATTTATTCATGTGTTTACCTCCTAAGGGAAGACACACCAATGGACACAGATCGTTATCAGAAGAACATCTGCCAACCACAGGTCTTAAAAGGCTATCAGGGCATTTTCCTTCCCAGCCTTCTCTCTTCCAGTTTCCTCCCTGAATATTGGCCAATTAACTTCAGCCAATTGCTTCCTGTCCCCAAACTTAGCATTTGATCTGTGGTGGGCCTTAACTTAGTATGTGGTTAATACATTTTCAAATGAGTCTTCTGTGAATATTTTAATAGGACTGAGCACTGTAATCTGTGTGCTCTCCCTCACTTCTTCCACTCAGGGCAGACAAGAGGCTTCCCAAGACTCTCAGCTCATTGGTTCAGGGGCCCTTGAGATTCATTAAAGAGCTAATGACACATAAAAGCTCAGGTTTCATAGTTTCTTAGCCCTCTGTGGCCTTCTATGTGTGGATGCAGCGTCCACCACTACAGCATGTACTTTCAAATTTGTTTAGCTTCATTACTTAAAATAGGCAATGGATTTAAAATCTGAGGATGAAAAATCTAGAATGCTAGTTAGCAGGGGAATGGATAACATTAATACATCTAATTGATACCTAAAGAGATCTTTTCCCACTTGATCAATTACAAAATACTGTTGATATTGTTTCAGGAGACACTGTGTTTGTATAAGGACTTCATTATAAAGCCATTATTCTATTTTTTCTTCCCAGGAGGAGATGGGAAAATGAAAAAAAACATCAAGTACCTCCATTGTCTCTGTGGGTGTGGGGGCAGGCTACAACGATTCATCTATGTTACAGCTCTTTTTACAAGTAAGTCAGATAGGAACGTCAAAGCTCTTACCAAATTTCTACCATTCAACTAGATTTATAACTAACTTGAGTTCTGTGGAAAAACAACACAACTGCTAGAAAATAGCTTAAAAGTAATCTATGGACAAGTAGGGTCTTTGTAAGATCTGGAAAACAAAAGCAGTAAGTAGGTTTGGACGTTCTTTATAAAGACAACAGTGTGAGAACATGTCATGCTAAAAAAGAAGGCTTCTTCAGGTATTTTGTATATGTCTTTTATTTTTAATTAAAGGTCATTGCTTGTTAATGATGCAGGGGAGAGGTGTTAGAATCCAGAGCTCTCAAAGGTAGCGATCAAAGTCTTTTCACTCAGCTTTGTTTTAATATTATTATTAAGCTGCTAATTTGGTGGAGGTGATCATTAGCATTTTAATGCGAAGCAAAAGCTTCGGGACAAGAACTTCTGGTTGAAGATCAAGATGAGAGAAACTGGTTCAGTTATGGCCTTAATAATTGTAACCGTGGGGAGTCTGGCAGAGCCAGTTTTATGAATTGATATAATATACAATCCACCAGGTACAAATGGAGAGGACAAACAAAGGAGAATTGCAAGCGGCGGCTACACTGGGACTGTGTGGATGAGAGGGAGTTGTTTGACAAATGCAGGTTGATTCAAAGTGGGCACCAGTACAGTACCGCAGATTCCTCTTCCAACAGGAGACTGCGGAGCTGAGGGCCAAATGGGTAGGGAATTCAACCCAGAAGAATAAAACTGGGAAAGACCTTTTGGAAAGCAACTAATTTTACATATTCCATTATCCTATAATGTTCCTTGTGGGGTTTTCTTTTCTTTAAGTGGATTAAATCAAACACAGAGTTGATGTTTTTGTGTGTTCTGCTCATGAGATATAGCAACTCTTAGACAGAAGTTATAAACAATTTGGTCTAGGGTCTGCTATCCATCTACCGAGGAAATAATAAGCCACTAACGTTTTCTGATTAACAACACGTATCATTTTATCCTGGAGCAAACCGTAAACGGGAAAAGTAAGGTTTGAAAATGTCCATTCAATTCACTGCGGAAAAAACAAGAGGGTGTGTGTGTGTGTGTGTGTGTGTGTGTGTGTGTGTGTGCCTTATCTCTACAATCTGTGGGCAGCTTGGTTTTACCTCTGCCCTGATGTTTGCACTTTGATTCTATCTTTGAACATTTATTTTGCATGTTGACGCCAAGTGTCATTTTCTGGTCAGTTTTGACATTTTCCATTCTTCTCATATTACAATGACTAAATGAGTCTCTTAAACAAGAATTGATACTTCCTATGATAAAGTTAAAAGTTTCAAGATTTCTTGGAACAAGAGAGAAAAAAAACATTTAAAACATTAGATATTTCTAATATTATTATAACATACACACATATATATCAAAGCAAACAGATTCGTATAGATAAATACTAATACATATCCATGGATAGTCACTTTTCTGTAACTGTATGTCTTAATGAGATTTTGGCAGTTTCTGCATCACCAATCACTAAACATTTGGGACTGGCCTCAAAATGCATCTCCAATGCATATGAACATAAGCACAGGAAGCTCCTATCTCACATACTTGATTGTCCATTTCTAACTTTTCACTGTGATGTATTCCCGGAAACTTGTAAGTACTTGACATCTTAACTGAGGATTCCCTGGGATGCTCTATTCTTCCCAGCTCAGGGACAGATACAACCAACCATCCATTGTCTTCCCTATCACAACATTTAAAAGCCCCTCCTCTTTCTACTGATAGCCAATCCTTTTCTATGTTTTCTTTGTCATTGAACGTTGACATGAATATATTCTTTATTTTGACTCCATCTGTCTTTACTCCACCAACCTAGGACAAGCTACCTTGATTTACTATGCAGAGACTATGATAGAGTGCCACATAGTCCCCTGTGTTTTTACCTTTTTTTTCTAACTCTTCTCTCCTTCAACAGAGGGACTTAATCAGCTTAGAATCCTTCAGTGATCTCTAATTGTGCATCAAATGATAAAGCCGAAACTCACAGTAGACTCCAAAGGTCTTGAGGATCTAAGGAATGCCACCTCTACAATATTTGCTCATGGTTGTTCATCTTTTATTAGTACTTACATCTACCCAAAATTATTTAGTTTACATTAGGTAAGTATCCTGAATAAGTTCCGCAATTCTCACAGAAACTAAATGTGGACATGCAATACATTTCTGAACCATAAGGCTGGTAGAGATCACTAAACAGGTTTTGTTTTCATTTCTTTTTCCTTACTTCTCTCCTTCTTTGTTTATTTAAGTAGGTTCAACTTGCACATGGACCTTTTCCCTTTGCATGTCTTCCCTGGCATTTATCTGAAAAACTAAAGCCTGAAAGTAAAACAGCCACCTGCTGGCCACAAAAACAGAAGCAATAGGAAATGTGCTACATTGGAAAGAGAGTGAGCAGAAAGAGGACAAAGACTCATGTCTATGACAATTTTTATCCTGACACTAAAATTGATTATGAAAGTTCTACCTCTGTGTTACTAGCACACATACACACACACACACACACACAGAGAGAGAGAGAGAGAGAGAGAGAGAACAATTCATCACACAAAATGTTAATTTTTAATCCTCTATGTTTACTTTTCCAGTACATAGAACTAAATACAAACTTCGGTGCTTATAAAAGGGCATATGACTATTTCTAGGTAGAATTTATTATCCAGATAGGTGGATGATTTTCCTTCCTGGAGCCAGGCATACCTTGAAGCAGTCTGACAGCAACCACAAGTATGCCTTCTATGGTTTTGAAAGACAGAAACAGGAGCATCCTACAGGAGCATCCTTTGTCCTCCCAGCAGGCTCTCTGTTAGATCAGACTGATTAGAAATGGCTAGAAAACTGCACCATTGTCTTCCTTTCTGGTGCTTCTGCTAACCCTAGGTCAGTTCCTAACAGGGCAGTCACAGTCACTGCTGGTCCCTGTCTGCCTAACTCTAGTGCTAGTTCCCTATGATTCCCATTGTGTTACTTCTTGAGTGTTCCAGTCTCTTAATGAAAAAACGTGGAAGGCTGAAGAGTAACAGGATTCTGGGTATTTCACAAAGTAATCCCCATGTAGCAGAATGACTTGGCCAGTTTGGGCTATTTTACTCTCTAAATAACTGTGGAAGAGATGAGCTTCCCATTTTGAGCTCAGTTTCTTCTGAAAAACTGACACAGCAGTGTCTTCTCTATTGGTGGGGAAAAGCACATTTTTTTTTGCCTTTGTTCTTCCTGTGTATAAATTCAACAGATGCAAGAAGAAAGACCACTGACCTAAGTCATGGCCAAATTAATTAAAGCAAGCTTTATTAATGTACAAGGTTTGAACCCATAGAGCAAGGTTCAAGAGATCAACATTAGACAAGGGGAAGATAATGGTTTTTATAGCTCAGGAGTGGGGTTTATCCAAATAGGCAATTTGGCAAACAAATAGGTGGGGTAACAGAAGCAGGACATAAGCAAAAGAAGTTGGTCATAACAGCCTTGTGAAACAAAGGTATGGCTGCAAAGTGGTCATAACAAGGTGGTCATAAGAATGTGATCATAACAATGTAGCCATAACAACAGGTGGTCATAACAACCTTTAGGGACAAAGGCATGTTTGCTGTATCCTGGAATAGGCAGTACAGAACTATTTGGAGTTAAGGTGACAGGTAGGGCATAGCACAATTCCTGAGCAGATTTAAGCATAAACAGGAATGAGTATAGTTTGTCTTTACTGTAAAGTGACTTCCTTTTTTAAAAAATTGAGAATAGATTCTTCTCTCTTACACAGTATCCTGACCACACTTTCTCCTCTCTCCACTCCTCCCAGCTTCTGACAACTTCTTCTCTGCCCCAGATTCACTCCCACTCACTTTCTCCTCAGAAAAGAGCAGACCTCCAAAAGGCAACAACCAAACATGGCAAAACAGGATACAATAAGACAAGGGAAAAGCCCTCATATCAAGGCTGAACAAGGTAACACAATAGGAGGACAAGAGTCCCAAGAGCTGGCAAAAGAGTCAGAGACACACTTACTCCCACCATTAGACATCCCACAAGAAAACCAAGCTAACAACCATAACATAGATGCAGAGGACAGGGTAAAGACCCTTCCAGGCTCTACGCTTGACTCTTCAAACCCAAGATGGAAGCATGTTGGTTTATCATGGGTTTTCATAAATGTTTTGTTTGAAAATTTAGAAAGATAGTATTAGTTGGGTATTATTGGAGTAATAATATTTTGACCCTTATAAAATAATATACAATGTAATTTTGGCAATATTTGGCATGAGGTCTGAATTTGAGACATTTTCAATCAAGTAGATGCTTTACTGAAAAGCAAGAAAGATAGAAAGTTTATAAAGACAGGAAGAACACCACGGCTATAAATAATAAATAACTATATAATTTAAAAGGTGAATAATTGCTGTAGAGTTCAGACAAAAGTAAACCTGACATAAAACTGAGCATAGGAGGTTAAGTTTTAATTGGGTCTTAGTAAGTTAGTAGGTATAAACTCAGTGATATTCCTGATTCTCACTCATTAGTAAGTTAGTAGGTATAAACTCAGTGATATTCCTGATTCTCACTCATTCCCTCCTGGGTTAATGTAAGAAACACCCCGCAGGAAGCCCAGCTTTGGTCTTAGACATTCTTAGAGTTACATTTTACCACCATCGTCAGTTGGCTGCTGTTAAGGGTTAAGAAAAATTTTTGTTATACAGCACTGTTCCAAGCACATAGTGAATGCTTCCAATTGTTAAACATTGATATTAGTGTAATGCAAGAGCTAACCATGAGTCAGACCAAAAGAGAGAATCCACCAAGCGTCAATAAAATAACAGCATATTTCAGAGAGCTGAGTAAGAAGCCAGGCTGAAATCAAGGAGAACCTGAATAAGCACTCAAGTTGGTTTTAATCAGAATAGGTCAGAACATGGACGGACATTCACAACCTCTTTACTGAAAGGACGTGTAGAATGGCAGGGTGGCTAGTTTAATCAACATGGTGACTTAATAAAAAGCTAAATTACTATACAAACACCCACAGGCTCTTTGTACATACCATATTGTTTCATCTTTATTTCTGTGTAGATGACAGGTATCTTTACTTTTCAATTTTGTTTTGGTTTTGAGAGAGGGGTTCTTGGTGTATCTCTGGCTGTATTAGAACTCATCTGTAGACCAGGCTGGCTTCAAACTCACAGAGATCCTCCTGACTCTGCCTCCTGAGTGATGGGATTAAAGGCAGGTACCACTACCTCCTGACTTACTTTTACATTTGTCTTACTAAGAGCACTGAAAGACTCTGTCATGAGTCCACACTAATGTGATCAATAGCGGGCAGAGCCAGGATTTGTCCCCAAAACTGGCTAGCACTACCCCAGATTCATAATCAAGGGACTCATATTTACTGCATGGAGTGGAAAAACACATTGCAAGGACTGTCATGGAGATCTGTGAGGGCATGAAACACATCTGACTTTATAATCCCTAAAGTATCTTAGTCCTCACTGACTGAAATGTGACTGGTTCAGTCTTTGAACTTGACCTTGTACTATACTGAAAGGGACACTGACCGCTGACCACTGACAGAACCAAGAAGGTCCACTTCTTAGCCAACTAAATCTTTGATTTTTTTTAATTTGTGATTTATGGCCATGGGCACAATCATTTCTGTCACCAGAAATCAGCAAAGGATAAATATTCATGAAGTTTTATTAATGTAAATGACCTCTCCAATGTATGAAACACTTTGTCTTCCTCTTTCAAAGGCTTATTCCTACATAGAACCAGGAATTTGGATAGGTTATACCCAAGATATCTGTG